TTTGCCAAAATGGCAATTTTGAAAGGCCGATCACTGTTCATCTAATTTTGGTAGATATTTCTATAAGAGAGTCCCTCTCTTGGTTTTAGGTTAGACAACATTTTTAGAGAGCTTTGATATTAGGTTAGGAATTTGTATCTATTCCATCTTTATATTCCCTCTCTTGAGCTTAGTGTGTGTGTTTTGTCTTACTTTTGCTCACAAGCACCCACCATCACACCATCCCTTGGAGCTGAGGCCTCTTGAGGGTTTTTTTGGAGGTTTTGAAGCTGGTTTCAACCTAAAGAAGCTGCTGGAGCTCCATTGTTGAAGAGGGTCTTCAAGGGTAAGAAGCTTGCTATTTTTACCCCTTTCTTGCATCATATTTTTGCCTACCTTACAACTGTTTTGTGTTTTAGTGTATACATAAAAAAGTTCTGTTTTTAGGCCCTCTAAATAGTTTGTTTAGAGTGTTTTGTGATTTGAGGTTGTTTAACCCCTCTTAAGCCTTGTAGGCTCTATTTGTGCCATTTTGGGTGAGCTCCGAGACTTGGTGTTTGGGCCTCCTCACCACTGAAATCTTGAGGGATTTCAGAGGTGAGGATGTGTAACAACCCTCATACTGTTTACCGATTAATGACTGATAGATTACCGATAAACACTGCTTACCGTTAAATCGAACTGATTAAAGTACTGAACTGACTGACCGAAAACTGGAACTGAATTGACTGAGTATGTGTGTTAATTTGTATTCTATCTGTTTGATTGTTTACTTGATCTGTTCATGTTTTATGTTAAACTGCTAATCGAAGGCCTTGTCGGCGGCCGGACCTGGAATTGATTTATTTCTGTGTTCATTAGAGTTTACAGGATTTTATGTATAATTATCTGAAAACTGATTATGTATGATTAAATTAGATTAAAATGAGTTAGAGTGCGTGAGTTGATTTATTCACCATATTGCCATTATTAGTGGGCCTCTTATTATAACATATTAGGGCCTTTGCATACTTGAATCAAAACACTTCTTCAGCCACATTTGAGCCTACAACCGACCTTAGAGAGAGAGAGACTTAGGAGTTGATTTCATCTCAAATTTGCTTGTGAATTGCTTGGTAATTGAAGTGTAGATTGCTACTTTGAGCTCCCAAACCTTGAACACAAGACTAAGTAGGACATTCATCTTCTTGTTGTTGTCATAGAATTGATTCTTGCATGATTCATGCTTCAATTATAGAGTTAAGTCTTGTTTTAGTTCATACATGTTGATATAGAGCTCATTTCATACTTGCATGACTGAATTGTTGAGTTTTGAGTTGGATTCATTGTAAAATGGTACATGCATGTTCATAATTTTGTAATGGTCCATGTTTTCAACTTGTTTTGGGATCAAGTGGCTCCTTAGAACATCAAATTGGAGCTTCAAAATGATTTGAATTCTTGCATGTTTGCATGTTCATATTGTTCATGAAATTGGTTTGAAATTGAGTTTGAATTAAACACCCTTGGGCTTTGATTTCTCAAAATTGAGCTTTGAACCATGTTATTCTATGTGTTTATAAAGGTTTTCCAGAAAAATGGGCCCAAGAGGATTGGTTTTGATGCTTTGAACTTGGTTTTGAGCTTAGAGGTGCAATCTGGAATTTCCAGATTCTGCACTTCCGCTCGAGCGGGGAAATGACGCTCGAGCGTGGAATCGAGCATCTAGTATCTCTGCACTGTTTTACAGTCTGCTCGAGCGGAGGATTGGGCGCTCGAGCGGAATCATGTGTCTCAAGCTCGAGCAGGCTCGAGCGTCCGTCGAGCGGAGATTCCACCCATCCAGCACTTTTGACTATTTTTGCAGAACGCTCGAGCGGGTAATTCTACGCTTGAGCGGGTACCTTTGTCTGCATATATGCTCGAGCGGAGTGACCTACGCTCGAGCGTGACCCTGTTTTCTGAAAAATTCGAAAATGCTTTTAAAAGTACATCTTTGCATCCTCATCCCATTCTAGGCATTCTTAGGCCTAGTTTAAGGCATATTGTTGAGGAGATAGATGTAGAACACACCGAGGCATTAGGGATTAAATTATGATATTTCCCAACTGTGTAGCTTAGTGTGTGTTCAACCTGTGAACTATGTAGGTTGGCGACTGGGGAGACACGCTCTAGCACACTGTAGCCCGAACACTGTGAGTAACAATTGTATAAAGATATGTTCAATTGAGAATGTTTTCTGACCGTTTAACGAAACTGCTTTCTGAAGTACTTATTGTTAATTGTTGAATGATGTCCTATAAATGTGTGTCCTTTATTTCTGAACTGTACTGTGGCATCCTTAGTACTTACTGTTTACTGTTACTGTTACAGAGATCTCTGTCGGTTCCCTCGTGGAACCACTACTGTTTACTGATTGATGGCCATCATTACTGTTCGGTCTTTTAAGACCTACTGTTACTGTTATTCTAATGGATGTACCACATATGACTGTTTACTGTACTGAACAACTGAAATACTGATTGAATTGAACTGTTTTCATTACTGTAAGGACATTTCATTCTTAACCTCTTTACGCATTATGTTATTCACTGGGCTTTAGCTCACTGTTTATATATATATGTAGGTGCTCAGCCACCAGATCGGAGCTAGGAGCGCGGGTTCGACTCCAGTTTTGTCAAGCCAGCCTTTGTGCTTCACTGCGAGGTTCCGAGTTGCCATGCTATGGCTTGGGGGTGTTTTGTTTTTCCCCCGTCTGTCCCCACACTGTTGGACTACTATATAGACTGTTAGCTACTAACTGTACTGTTACCAAGGGATTAGGTCCCTGTACTGTGTAACTGTAAATTTTGTATAGACTGTACTGCTTGTATATGTGAATGTATGAAAAATCTTTTTGGCATACAGACAGTCACAGCTCAATGGACATTATTTATTTACTGTATTGGCTTCCGCTAGGCCCTGTACTCTGTTTTACTGTGTTACTGTTCTGCAGGCCTTCGGTAATCTCGGATTACTGGCCGGTTACGGTGCTAAACCCATAGGGCCGGGTTTGGGTCGTGACAGGATGGTGCCTTGAGGTCCCAATAAGGAGAGGGCCACCCCCTCTCCTTGTTGTCCTTGAAAAGGACCATTTTTGGCCTCTTGAGGGAGCACCATGTTTAGGCTCATGTTGACAATGCTTTAGCTGATTTTTGTGCTTATTATGTCATAATATGCCTCTGTTTTTAGTTGGTTTTGGTACATCATGCTTGATTAGCATACATGCCCTGTAATGCCATTTTGTTGCCTTAACATGCCTTAGGTTGTAAACCATCGTTCTAGCATGCTTTAGGCTTAGCTTTGTGAAGCTTTCATGCTTATTTCACCATGTTTAAGGCCTGTCCTTAGCCATTTTGGTGGACCATGGCATGCATTATATAGCCCCTTTGCATTTTTGGTTTGTTGGCCTTAAGTGTATGAGTGTGTTGCATGCATCACTTGCTTCGATTTAGTGGGTTGGGATCATTTTCCATGTTATTTTAGTCCCTTTGATATGCTTGTATGCTTGCCTTGGACACCTCTTTAATGCTTTGAAAGCTTATGTTGTATGCTCCATGTTTTGGCCTTTGTGCATGCTTTTGAATTTGAGCCACTTAGATGCCATCTAGGGGGTCCCTTTGCATGGTCTAGGCCTGCCTTGGACCTGTTTTAAGCCTTCTTGGCCTTGTGAGGCTTGGTTGGCTTAGCCATGGTTCAAGTCCCCTTTGACTTGCTTTAAATGCTTGGACCATTTGTATGCTAATGTTTGTCTTGTTAAAGTTGGTTTGGCACCTCTTATAGCATGATTTTCAAGGCTTATAATGCATGCCATATGTCCATGATTATTCCCTTTTAAGTGTGCTTAAAAGTTGTCCTTTGATGCTTAAGCGTTAGGCCTTAACTTGTGCATGTGTGTATGTGTGTATGTGTGTTTGGTCCCATTTTTTTTAAGCTTTTGGCCACTGTTTTGGACCTAACTTAGAGCTGTCCAATTAGTGTAAGTCTGTAACAACCCTCATACTGTTTACCGACTGATGAATGATTGATTACCGTTAATCGTCGATTACTGCTAAATGGAACTAATTATGACTGATAATTGGACTGATTAAAGTACTGAACTGACTGACTGAAATTGGAAACCGAATTGATTGAGTATCTGTTAGTTAAATTGCATTCTATCTGTTTGACTGTATGATTATCTGTTCATGCTTATATGTTTAAACTGCTAATTGAAGGCCTTATCGGCGGCCGAATTAGAAACCGATTGATGTTTTATGACCGTCATAATTAATGTGATTTTATGGTATAATTATCTGAAAACTGATTAGGCATGATTAAATTAGATTAAAATAAGCTAATTAAAGAGTTTGGTTTATTTACCATATTGCCACCCTTAGTGGCACACTACCTAGTGATGCTAGAGCCTTGCATCCTTGACTCAAAACATTTCCATCAGCCATTTCTCCTGAGCTTAGCCGACCATGAGAGGAGAGTTAGAGAGAGAGAGAATTGTTCTTGTTGATTTGGCTTGAATTGCTTGGAATTGAAGTGTAGATTGCTATATTGAACCTCTAGACTTGCATTCGAGGAACCTAGGTATGAGTTTCATCTTTTGATTTTGCCTTTAAGTTGATTCATGCATGGTTCATGTTAATTTGTAGAGCTAAGTCATGATTTGGTTCATTAATGGTGGATTGAAACGAAGCCTTCATTGTCCCAGGGAATGACGTCTTTTGCGGCCAGGACCAGATGGACGTCGTCAGGTATTTGGTAGTCTTTCCTGAATTCGGCTAGGCCGCCCGGAGTATTCCCCATCTATCGTATAATTTAAGAATAAGTTATTTTGGTGCAAATATTGTGCTCAGTAGCTCAGTTAAGCGCACGCAAGAGTGCCTGGGCAACCTAAGTCTGTAAAGTAAAAAACAAAGGGGTTAAGCACAGATCACTGGACCGTGCTACAAATTAAAAGCATGGTAAAAGATCCCTACTTCGGTTTTTGCATGGCATTGGCGTATTCCATGAGGGAGTTCGGTATGAAGTAGGCTGGAGGGTTGAAAACCTCGGTCTGAGGATCATGACCGAGCTTCTCAACGGCTCCCCTCCAGCCGCACTTAAAGAAAAGATCCTTGGCAGCATTGCATTGTAGGGCGTAAGCATCCTCTGCCCTCTTGAAGCCCTGCTTGTCAGCCTCTTTTACCTTCTCCTTTATTTCGGCATCCTTCTTTCTCTCAAGTTTTAACAACTCGCGCAAGTACTTGTCCTTCAGAACTATGGCAGTCTTTTGTTTTTCAGCTTCGGCCGAACTAACCATTCTGGTCAGTCGGCCGACCTCACCTCGAAGTTCGGCCAGTTCCTTTCTGGCTTCTTCTAGTTCGGCCGATTTCGCCTCTGCCTCGGCCGCTGCTTGCCTAGTCACTTTCCTCAGCTCCAATACTTTCCTGTGGGTAATTTGGTTTTTCTGGATGGCCTGACAAAGCAACAACCTCAATTTAGCCGAAGAAAAAGTTGAGTAGAAAAACAGAAATGCGACCGAAGTTACTTACCAGAATCATTGATTTAGTGGCTGACCGGATGGACTTCAGCTCGGTGGTTAACTGTTTCTGGTGGTGTTCCATGTCTTTGGGCAGACACACACTCTTGGCCAGATTAATGGCCAACAGGTGGTCTTTCTCAGCAACGACCGAGTCTGTGTCTAGAATGACTCGGTCGTTGAAGGTTAGTTTCGGTGCCCAGCAGCCGATAGTTCGGTCGGAAGACTCCGGAAGGGGGCTCGGTGGTAAGCTCGGCTGAATAGCAGGTTCTTCATCAACCAAAACTCGTTCGGGTTCGGAAGTTCGGGCACGTTTGGTTCGGCGGGAAGAGGATGGCTGTTGGGAAGGGAGGGCGACAACAGCAGGCTGCGATTGGCTGGGAGGCGCCACTTCGGGCCTAGTTGTTTCAGTGAGAAGGGCCC